CGTCTGTCGGTAGCATTATCAAATTTATTCAGAACTTTAGGGCAATCTCGGTATGATTTTAAATGAATCATATTCAACACTGAAGACCGGAGGTTGATCTTTCGTTATTATTATTTTCTCTGCCCTCTTCTTTTTTGATTGGAGTTTAATTGACGTTTACAAATCTCTCGAAATCACATTGACGCTGTATTCATAAACAATTTTTTCTCCAAAGGAATTTTACTATCTTTCGTTATACAGGTATTTACGTGCAAATAAAGTTTTCTGGCGAACCAAGTTATAATCTTTGTATCTTTGATGAGTTTTGTCAAAAAGAATAAATTTATCATAGATAAATTATTAATGTGTGTACGCCAGACGCGCGTTTAGTCTAAAAAGATTAATCAGTGACGTCTCTGATATCTGATAACAGTTTTTATCAGTATATTTTCACTCTTTTGAAGCATCATATGGTGTCATCAATACAAACGCGTAGGAATACATAGTATATATACATGTTAAGGTGGATCGTCGCTATATATTTCCTCAAATAAAATTTTCTTATACTTTGCCAATATTGAGATTTTACCATGCTTTCTAAAAAAAATAATCAAAAGTATGGGTCAACGTGCTATTTTTCAAGCTACAAGTCGTCCAAAAATTGCCCAATTTTGAAAAGATTATTCATGTCAAAACACTTTTTTGTGAATATAAAGATATCAATTAGATAGAATTTTGAAATAAATTATGAGAAGATAGGTTTTATAATATGCTTTAAAAAAATAAAAATAAAAAATGGTGTCATCGAACTTGATTTCTTGCTACAAGTATAAATTGAAAGTTTCACTATCATTCCAGTTTAAAATGTTAATTAGAACAGTCATCTCTCCTTATATGACATTCGAAAAATTAAATTGAACAAAAACAAATATTTAGTATTTGTTAAAACAGTCTAAATGATGCAATAAATCACTTATTTTTCTTTATCAAAACGAACAGTCTTACACATTAATTGCCAATCTGCTTAATTATTTGCAGATTAAGGCAAAGAACTAGACCGATTGTGTACTGCTATTTTACAATCCAAAATGGCGGTATACACTTAATCTACCTTAATATTAATAGGCCAAATAATCTGAGAGTTAGCAACCATAGGTCATCGAATGTGCTTCAACAAGGAGCAAAACCAATATCGCATAGTAAGCTATATAAAGGCCCCGAAATGACAAATGTAAAACAATTTAAACAAGAAATATAACGGCCTGATTTGTGTACGTACAAGACAACAAACGAAAAACAAATATGACATACAGCAACAAATGACAACCACTGAAAAAAAAAAAAAGAATAACAAAAATACCGAACTCCATGGTAAATTAAAAAAGGGGAAGTCCATAAAAACTGACAAAATCAAACGTTATCAACCAACGGAACTAATGGAAAACACATATTCCTGACTTGGTACGGGCATTTGGCTGAGAGAGTTTGAAATTTAATTTTTATGTTCAATAAAATACAAGGGTGTAAAATACTATTCAGAACCTTTACAGTATTTTATTTGTTAATATTGTTGACATGAATGATAAACACATAGTCCTGTAGAAGCCTTTGTTTAAGTAAGTAGGTTTGTTATAGTTTATTTATTCCAATAACGAATGAAACTCAAAGTTCCATAAACCTATTTATTTTTCTTCATTTTTTATGCATAGCGTACCTTCTTGATATTATGGGTGAACCATTTTCATAAATTCGTATAAAATCAGTTGGAACAATATTTGCCTGAAGAAGCATATGACATAATGAATTACAGGCCCCTGTTTTGAGGCAGGCAGATATACAGAATATCGCGGGATTAAACATATGTGAAGCGCCTTAAGCCTCCCCTTACATTGCACATTGGTGTAACAGTACAACATATGATTAAACTATAAAAATCAGTTGAAAAGGATTTAACTCATTTTACTTTATTTTTATCAATCTTTATTTTTTCATGTTGGTTTTTGTAAACTATTGGATGTATTTTCGTTGTATTTTATTTGTTCTTTGCCATGGCTTTGTCACATTGGATTGTGTTGGAAGTTTGAATTTCCCTATAGTACCTTCCGTCTCTCTTTTAAGAAGTTATTGAAAAGCTAGGATTCCAACTTTGTCAAAAGCGCATCGGACGAACACAATTTATAAAGTGTTATTTCAATTTGATGTCGTCAATCGGGGATTTAAATGTGGCAACTCTTCAAATACTGTAATGCTATTCATATTCTATTGAAATACTCGTTTAAGTTCAAAATAAAACATTGGATGTGTCCAACAATGTTGTTACCAAAGACTCCGACCGGCAATTGTCGAACATATTGACGGCAGATGTCATCAAAACCACTAATGGCGCTTATACTTATATTAATCATGAAAATTCAAATGATAACAAAAAGAAGTTCAACATTTTTAATTTTACCAAAGACGTGTATACTGACACTAACCGTATTGTTTCTTTTAATAAATGAAACTACGAAATATCACTGAAAACGATTGCTGCATGTGGGGTTATTTCGTAATTATTTTCTGGAAGATCCGTGTTGAAGTAGAAGTATCTGTTTCCACTTATTTTTATTTCGGTTTAATGGTTCACCATTGCTTTAACAGCTGTTGACTAGCTATGTTTGTGTATAAAAGAAAATGTGGGACAAGGTCAATGAACAATTATATACATGAACCATATACAACGCATATCGCATAGGAAAAGAAATAATCTGTTATGTCTGTTGCACACATGTTTATACTATTGTTGTATGATTTGCAATTGTTTACCACTTTCTTTTTCATTAAAATGGAAACACACATTCCTTATAACTAATGCTAATAAAATAAAATTGAGAATGGAAACGGGAAATGTGTCAAAGAGACAACAACCAGACCAAAGAGCAGAAAACAGCTTAAGACCACCAATGGGTCTTTAACACAGCGAGAAAATCCCGCACCCGGAGGCGGGCTTCAGCTGGCCCCTAAAGAATTATTTATGAGTGGAATAGTAAGTTTATTGTCCCCCGAGGTACAACTTTTGCCCTGAGGCGTAGCCGAGGTGAATAGTTGTATCCGAAAGGACAATAAACTTACTATTCCACGAATATCTAGTCAGTAAGAGTTTTATTATACCAAAAGAGAAAACAGATACAAAGTTATGTCAAGGACTGAACTACACAGCTGCCCAAAATTCATTTTTACATTTGTAAGAGACAACGGACACATAGTGATGACAATTATCTGATTGTAAATATGCATTCCAATAACAAGCAGGCAATTGCAAGTTTAAAGCTTCATTTTTTTTTCAAAACAACAGAATAAATTAAACGACTCGGTAACGACGTCAGTAACTGAGATGAATTCTGATAGTCCCGAATGAATTGTTAAAAACCCGTTAGCCAATCCCGTAGCTGTAGTTGAAATTCCGCGAAATATAATAACGCTTGCGGTCAAATAGATTCATCGAGAGCAAATAGTTGGAAAATATTGACCGGTCAAATAGTTCAACGCTTGCAATTTGAAAAATAGTGAAAATATTGTGTACTTATTTTATATAGAAAATGATAACTGAGGTATAATAATATATACTAGTTAGCGAAAATAGACGTCTCACTAAACTTTAAAGTCAGTTCAGCAGGATAAATCTCTTTAGTGTACATCCTGAATGTATACATTTTATATTGAAATGAATAAATGTAAATGAAAAATCATATGCAAAGTTTTGAATTTATATATTTCAGATTCTTATACAGTAGACGAAATGGATTAAGTTTGGTTTGGAGGCAGTTCTATCGTTTACTCTGTCGACTTCTTCTCAATGAATTCTAAAGTTACAAGTTCAGATACTTCAAAATGTTCTGGTGGGGCCTCTACGGCTAAAGGTTAATTTTCATAATATATAAATTTTCATTATTCTTTGGAAGCAGGATGTCATACATGGTTATTTTTGTTATCTTACAAGATGAAATATAAGGCGATTTATAAAAGAGTTCTTGAAACATTATAATTTCTAATTATTTCTATTATTATTATTATGATGGTTGTTGTTTTCCTTTTTTAATATTAAAATATTATGTAAGTGGCAACAGTAGTTTACCGATGTTCAAATTTTGTATATTCATTTGAATGTATATATCACATGTATCATGATAAATAACAAAACCTGAGGGATTCTTATGAACACCAAAAGGAGCGATACCGGTTGTGTCGACATGGTAGGGTTTCCTTCTATGAACGCATTGCCCGCCATGCGAATCCACACTCAGTCAAAAGGTCACAATAGAGAATAGAACACAATCGGTAGATTTATTAACCAGACGATTACGCTGGCATCTAAGGATCTAAATCTATCAAATAAGATACGAATTATGACTACATTAGAGATCAGAGATTACAATATAAATACAACATTGCTTTACCGTTTCCTTTACAGAAAGAAGACCGTGTTTAAAGCTGGATTTAAACATCAGTCAGGTGTATAAAGGATTTGTTATACAAGTGTACCTACCTGGAGGTGCAATAGTTATAATGTTATGGCTAGGTTTCTTCGTTCATTTGAACGAGGTTTCAGCTAGAGTCCGCGTAGTATCGATTGGATTTACAGCATTGATCACACAAATGGTGGGAGTTATGATCGTTTTTCCTGATACCGTACAATTAGAACCACTTCTGGTATGGAATACATTTTGTTTATGAATGAATCTTATAGCATTTATAGAATTCATCGTAGTTCATAATATGTATATCACACGTGAACTATGGAAAAAACAAAATAAAGAAATAATTGTAAGCAGTCATAGAATCACTCAAGTACAACCAATAAACGACGATACTGATAATGCTACAGCTCCAACAAAGAGACCACCGTATCCCATTACTCCATACAGAATGGATAAAATATGCATGGTTCTCTTCATGTTTACTTTTCTTATTTTCAATGTTGCTTATTGGAGCACATTCATGTTGGCTTGAAAATTGGACTAAAAGCTGGTACTAAAGTACAATTAAATGAAAACCATCTTGTATATTTTTCTTTGAAACATTATATATTTGTATGTTTGTAATTAAAAAGATGCATGCTATGAAGGTCAATGCAATTTAGTTAGGTGGGCTGTTGTTTGTTAAAGATATCAATTTCATTCAAAATTCTTATTTCGAAAATATAGAAGAATACATTTGACATTGCTATTATTGTTTTTCAACATCATTGTATTGATGATTGTCAAATAAATCACATAGTTGTATGAACTCGTCTTTTGTGATGGATATTTGATATTTTGAAAACATAAATAATGTACAAGTCTAATTCCTGTTTTTGTTATGTTTTTTTGGGGGTTCTATCGGATTGTATTTCCTCCATCCATTAAAAGTGAAGCACCAGTTATACTGTCAGCACCAGAAGAACACAAAAATACAGCTAGTTCTGCAATCTGTAATAAAAATTGTCAAAGAAAAGAAATTCAAAATATGAAGTGAACAGCTTTCTAAATCTACATTCCTTAAATCCGAACTGTATACATAGATCATGGTCATACTTCTACAGCACACATTTATATGTATAACAGGTGTTTAACAGATTGGCCTACTTTGAATAAACTTAGGGGAACACAGAATGTTAGTCTAATGTGTGCTCTGTGTAAGACTCCTTTTCGAGGAGCAACAACATAAGGTATTGTGAAAAGGAGGAAACTTTGAACACTGTATCGGAAGCTAAAATTAATGTGAGAATTTGCCTTTCCATTTCCACATTCTGACCGTGAAAGGTAAAATTGCACTCCAAAAGACACCAATAATTAGAACAGGCATCAAAGCATACAAACACTAGAGCGGAAAAGTTAGCTATATAATATATATATTACCTCCCTAGTGATGATCTAAAAATAAGTTGAGATGTATTTCTTTATTATGTAGGAAAACTATTCAAGGTACATGCATGATCATTGTTTTTTGTATTCAACTATTTTTTTCTCAATAAATATGCAGATACATAGTTTTTGTGCGATCATTAAAAATAGGTGAGATGATGCAATATGATTATTTTGAGTGGTCTATTGTATTCAACTAGACTTCTCGTTAGAAATGAAACCCATAAATTATGGTTTAAGGTTTTCACGAAGACTTTGGAGAGGAGAGCACCAGCATGAAAATCAAAAATATATTTGAGCAGTGGCTTGAAATTAACTTTAACCCAGAGGAATGATATTGTCAGAGTAGAACAAGTTTAAAAATCTTACTATTTCATAAATAACTTTTTTTTTCTTGCCAAAATATACATTTGGAAAGCACATTTGTAAATCACCAGAGAGAGGCAGAGAGCAACGATTATACATATATGATATTTTGTATAAATTTTATTTATAGAAATTAATGAAATTTTAAATTAAAGTAATAAGTCTAAAGTTTCTAAATAAATCAAGATCAGTAAACTATATGTAATTTTTCCTGTCTCTTTCAATCACTGTGTAGCCGAACACCTGTTTAGAAAGTTCGCGTCCACATTACACGAGTACCTAAACAACTTACCTGCTCTATGGTTACTGGTTTCTGGGTCGGATGAGCTGTTTTGAATATTTCAGTCTGAAATACAAAATTGTAGTACGATTTTAATGTTCTTTAGTCATAAATTGTAATCACCATCTTGGTATAGACGCCATTTCAATGTCTGATATATCCTTTATTGAATCTTGACAATTTACTCCATATAAAGGTTTTTATTGCAACTATTAAAGCATACACTATCTTATTTTGCATAAAAACACTGTAATAAAATCATAGACAAGGATCCGGTCATTATTTTGATGATATATGTGACCCAATATGTTGTCCTTTGTTATAACTAAGTCTTGTATATTTCGTATGTATTTACTCCTGTAACTATACATAACGAATTTTTTAATAAAATATGTTTACACTAATGTTTGGTCCTCAATTTTTTCAAAGCAATTATTTCATATTGATGACATATTTTAACTACATATAATACACCATAATTTCAATCAATGTCATCACGCAAGAACAAAAAATGACAAAAGATACATAATTAGAGAAGAGTTAAATATAAAAAAATCAAACTGTAATTATTACGAGTGGACATGTGGCTAAGACAAATATTTTAGTTCATTAAGCAATGTTATAACGATAATTATACAATGAATTAAATATGATTTAATATATGGCCCTTGGACGACATTAAAGGATATTTGTCTCATTGGCAATCATAGCACATCTCATTTTTTTATAATATATATATCCATATTTGTTTGAATGTAACTAATAAAAAGAGTGCTTACCATTGCTTCATCATAGCTAAGGTTATGCTCTTGTGCATATGATCTTATCTGATTATGGAAAACTAGAAGAAGGGAAAACAAAAAATTTCTTTCGATACTGTAATACGATTAAAGATTTGATATGAACTCCAGATCAATTTTATAATTGTGTTCACGATACTTGGAATAACAAATTAATCTTCTGCAAAAATATGATTATAACTATTTAACAATCAGTAATGCTATGATAATATTCAAACCTACGCGATGATATCTTTTCTTACATATACGCGTTACAAATATTACTACATCTGGGTTGCCCCAACTAGTCCCCGAGAGTACCATCAATCAAGTAAGCATTTTCTCGGTATTGGCATGCTTTTCTTATGGAATATCTGTTTCACAGATGACGACGGATATGTTCCAAGTGTCGTCACTACAATCCCGTCCCCTTTTCCCCGAATGTGACCTACCGAATAAGACTTATCACCGGGTTTGTACTTACATGGGCAACACTACGGGTGTCACATGTGGAGCAGGATCTACTTACCCTTCTGGAGCACCTGAGATCACCCCCATTTTTTGTGGTGTTCGTGTTGCTCAGTCTTTAGCTTTCTATATTTTGTTTTGTGGACTGTTGTTTGTCTGTTGGTCTTTTTTAGCCTTGGCGTTTTCAGTTTATTTTCGACCTATGTGTTTGAATGTCCTTTTGCTATGATCTTTCGTCTCTCTTTCGTCGAAACGTTTCAAATATAGAGTTTCAAGTTATAAATAATGCATTTAAACATAAGGATTGACACTCTGTCAAAAAAGTTGATCAAAACTGATGATCTAGAAACATGTCGCTCCTGAAGAAAATTATATAAAAACATGTATCGCTGCATTGTAATCGTTTAAATTCGTTTATAAGACACCCTTTGCTTAGATACCTTGTTTATCATGTAATTTGTTTACAAACCCATTAGATATTCACTTTATATTTTCTATTAAAATCGTGCGAGTTTTATGTAACTGTGTAATTACTTACTTGGGGCATCGGCATATCCGGGACATATGGCATTACAGGTCACTCCATATGGTGCTGCCTCTAATGCCACACCCTATAATATACGATCCAATACACTACATTTGTACCTCTTATATTACAGTTTATTGGCAGAGCTTTTAAAAAAGGAAGATTCCAAGTGATTAAAAACCTTCAGTGAAAATGGAAATGGCAAAAAACATGTTTGTGAGCGCTCAACCCTCCCCTAACCTGGGACAGTGGTGTTACAGCATAACATAAGAACAAAACTATAAAAAATCAGTTGAAAATGGCTTAACTCATTAGATTGATACAAAGCAGAAAAACATCTAACAAAAACACAGACCGGACGTGGCATGGTATTTATTCATCCCTAAAAACAAAAAAGACACAAAGTACAGATCTGACAGCTAGTTCAAAGCCAATAACAACTAATAAAAGAAATCATGAACACATCCATCATCCAATGAATTTAGTGTAAAGACGTCGTTAACAGTCAGAGAAAAACATGATCTTGTGCAATGGCAAAATATAGGTATCGACAGATTGTAGAGCCATGAAAGTGCATATGTGTATAACAGAACTATTTAGTATGGTTTTAATTTACTGCTAACAAAATCAATACTTATACCAATAAAAACAATATTCAAAGATCTAATTACAATGTTGAATTGGTAACATTTAAGAACAAGTTTATTTGAAGGATTGATAAATTTACCATGATCTTATATAAATTTCTAGGCTCGTTAAACAACATCACCGTACAATTTAGGATGTGCTATTCCGTCTGAAATAAGTATTTTACAGATACAGCCAAACTTACAAACCAAATATTTGCATTTATGGAAGAATTTAGTAAAGGTTTTAAGTAATTTGTGGTACCGAAATTCTCAACAAATGTCACTTGTGTTGCTCATGTCGAGTGGACATTCTGTGATATTATTTTCGAAGAAAGGAGAACGGGATTGTGGCTAGGACAAGTGGACCATATTTGTGATGATCTATGATACAGATAATCCGTGACGATCAATCAAATCGTGATGGCGTCCTTAACACTTTCAAAAGGGTGACCATTTTGAATCCTTCATGCAACATCGTCCTTGGAAGCAGCAACTCTCTATTAATGAAATCATGAAAGAAAACGCAAGCCAATGAAGATCATATCAATTTGGAAAAATATGTTTTATATGCATGCGCTGCTATATGTTGCTACAGAAAAATTTAAAGTTCATAATAGGAGGGTTGAAATCATCTGTTTTGTCTTAAAGGTTACTTGCCAACTGACCCTTGTTATCAATTTATAAATGTTAGTTAAGACATGGACAATACTTTACTGTGATTGTGTTATCTTTAATTTTAGTTTAAAGGAAAAAGCCGCAATCAGCTTTGTCACCAAATTTTGAATTTTCAAATAAAAAGACATCATGTATATACACATGTATATAGCGGAACGTGAAGGTAAACGATAATAAAAGCTTTTCTGTGTGAGGAGCTCCAGTATGACATCTGTGACATACGAATAAACAAACAAGTCGATAAGAACAGTTGGTTTCCATATGAATGCGGATCGTCTGTTGAAAAACACGTTCTCAATACGTAACAAATATGCTGTCAACAAAAAAATCAAGCTTAATGATTATTTCAGTTTCAGACAGAGTTTCATAGATTTTTTTAATCAGATTTGTTTTTTACAATGCATAAAGTTTCCCTTCTTAAAACAGGATTATGACGATATTCGTATCTGCTTTGTCCTTTTTTAAACATTATTTGACTATTTCTTTCGATCTTTCTAAGTTATTAATGAGAAATACAAGTTTTCAGAAGACAAGTCAAATATGCATATACTATAGCTGTAGTCATAAAAAAGGTAAGCAAAAGGAATGATACTACTGACCCAAACTTTTGTCAAAACAATTGATATGAAAATAAATAGATGTGGTATCATTTACTATCCACCAGACACCAAATGGTATAGAGGTCACCGTACAGCCTTCAACAATGAACAAAACCCATATATGAAGCTATAAAAGGTCCCGACATGACAGTCAAGATGTAAAACAATTCAAAAGAGAAAACAAACGACCCGTTTTCTGATAAATACAAATAAACGAAAATCATATGATAAATTGATAGTAGGCGTCGATAAATAACGATGAATTTATAACCTTTGACGTGCTATTTTACTTCATTTTGACTTTTTCACATTTTTAGTTCTGACATTTTTCATAACTCGTTTTACAGTTCATACAAGTGTACTTCTATTTGCTTGTCTTTATCCTTCAGTTTACGTCCATATCCCTCGTTCGCATACATCGTGTAAACTTGATAAAATTATTTTGTACATAATGTAGATACAATGGATACGCGTTGGTTCGTTAAAAAGATACCACGAGCCCGGATGGTGAGTGGTATCTATTAACAATCCAACGCTTCTCCACTGTGTCTATTATTTTAACTGTTGTTGAGAAGTCTTTTCAAAGTTACCGTTCTTTCATTAATAAGGCATTATTATCACTGAGTTCAAATAACCACCTAATTATATTGAATGATTCACAAGAAACAACAGATAATTAGAATTCTAATATGACGACCTATATATTATCAACCAGTTTTATCACAATATATCTACTTTTAGCGCAAACGCTTTAGTGCATAAAATTGGGTGCTCCGCGTTACGCCCACCTTATTTATACGACCAGGTAAACTCAATTTGCGTCAACAGCCTCAAATACAATACGGTTATCTCTATTCTAATGCAAAATAAACAAATCAATCCATTTCTGTTATTAGTTCGGTGTAAAATTTCATACAAATAAATAACTCTGACATCATGGCAATGGTTTATATTTGAACAAACCTTTGTCATTCCAATAAGACCAGCTTTTTCTGCACTATAAGGCGCCTTTTCAGGTTAACTTATTACACCCATCTGTGAAGACATATTGATGATCCTTCCCTAGCCTTAAACAAAAGGGAAGACATTTTTACAATGACACAACCTTTTTTTTTGTATTTTAGTTAACCATTTTTGCCGGCATTTTTTATGGTGATCTAACCGCGCCGATTCCTATTTCAGTGAATTTTATTTTTTCATGTTTATTACTGTTTATATAAGTATACGCTATTCTCCATATGTTCGTCTTTTATTCAATAGATTGAAGCATGCAATATATTTTCACACAGAATTTACAAAAAATATCCAGAAACAAATAGCATTGAGGATTTAAATCTGTCTTCTAAAATAAAGACATACACAATTATGAATACTACTTGAAACTACATGAGAGAGAAAGTGGTGAATGCTTTTAACAAGTGATACGATCTATTTGTCTATACTCAACGCACCTTTCCGCTTAATATCAGCAACACATTCTTTAATTAAAAGAAATGGTGCCGTCATCGTTATCCCTATCATCATGTCCCATTTATCTTACGGATAATCTTCTATAGGAGCAGTATACTGTATACCTATAAGATGAAAGCAGAATACCAGACTATATGTAGATCGCCTGTGATACTTCAAAGAGGCCTTTATAGCAATTAGTTGCCATCAGCATAAGATGTACCTAATGAACTATACTATGGATAATGTGATTCAGAAAACATATAATTCTAAATATTAATGAAAAGTTTTAATCAAACATAAAGTAATCAAACGTTAAAAGCTATCACAAAAAAAATAAATATTAAACCTTATGTTGCATTTAAGAGTATATTTCTATAAACCAATCAAAGGTCAAAGTAATTTGTTACACCAAAGGAATAACATATGCACTAAATTTTTTAATGCAAATTCTTAAATATATATTTTAACCTATACTGCTTAGTTTTTGGAAATCTCTTCAAGTGAATATTTGGCAATTGATTTCAGATTGGACAAATGCACTTTCTATAATGAGAGTGTTTGGTTGAACTATAACGTACTTACCAGCATTATTAACCAGAATATCAATTCCGTCAGGATATAAGTTTTTCACAGCTTTACAAAATTCTGATATCTCTTCAGGTTTAAGTAAATCACATGGTACATAATTTACTTTGATTGTTGCATATTGCCTGGAAACAAAAACTCAAGAAATAAAAGGTTAGTTTTTGACCATTCCATAAGCAATAAATTATATTTATATTTGTTAAGTAGTAAATAACTCAGTTGGTACACCAAACACTGAAAATTATCAGTTTATTTATTAATGACGTTATTAATTACGAACTGTTTTTCATCATCATCATAATCATCATACAGATCTGAACAATTGTATTCAACAACAAAATAATTTCGTATAAAGAGTAAAACTACATCCAACTACGAGTTAAATGAGTCGAATTGGAATTAGATTTCCATGATATTGAGTAATATAAAATTGAGAATGGAAAGGGGGAATGTGTCAAAGAGACAACAACCCGACCAAAGACCGGAAAACAGCCCAAGGCCACCAATGGGTCTTCAACACAGCGAGAAAATCCCGTACCCGGAGGCGGGCTTCAGCTGGTCCCTAAACAAAAATGTGTACTAGTTCAGTGAAAATGGACGTCACACTAAACTCCGAAACATATGAATGAACTAAAATTAAAAAAAAAAAACATACAAGACTAACAAAGGCCAGAGGCTCCTGACTTGGGACAGGCGCAAAAAATTGCGGCGGGGTTAAACATGTTTTGTGAGATCTCAACCCGCCCCCTATACATCTAGCCAATGTAGAATAAACAAACACACAGCAATACGCACAGTAAAACTCAGTTTAAAAGAAGTCCAAGTCCGATGTCAGAATAGGTAACAGAAGAAACTAAGCAAAATGACAATGATACATAAATTAACAAAGGACTACTAGCAGTTACTGACATGTAAGCTAGCCCCAGACCTCAATTAAACTGAGTGAAAGATTATGTCTTCATCATATGAAAATCAAGCACAATCACTCTCGTTAGGGGTTTAGTATCATACCATCATAAAATATAAGAGAAGAACATAACCCGTATCATGGCAACAACTGGTTTTAGAATAAATGTGTTTATTTCCGATGCAAAGACCCTATGAGTGAATCAATATTAATTCCAAAATATGCCATCTTTAATGACCTGACAACAGTATCGTAATTATATCCCTTCTGAATAAGTCTGTTTAAAGGTTTAGCTTTTGAGGTGAATGACGACATTTTTGTGCTTTGTATAGAATATTACCATAAAAGATTGGATGTGAAATACCTGAACGTATAAGATGTCTGCATGTTGATTTATATTTACGAATGATGTCCTTATACCGATGATTAAATTTAGTAAATATTTTGACTACTTTGTGATATCGAAAACCCTGGTGTTATAATTTTTCAGTAATACAGAGATTTCTTTCGTATAAATCAAATACGTTGTTACATACAGGAGCGAATCGAACAAGTTGAGATATATAAACACCATAAGATAATGACAAGGGAACATCACCATCTAAAAATGAATAATTAACGATAGGAATTGAACAATCATCTCTTTTATCGTAAATTTTGGTATTAAGCTTTCCGTTAAAGATATAGATATCAAGATCCAGGAAAGGGCAGTGTTCATTGTTAGTATTAGCTTTATTTAAAAGTTCAGCAGGATAAATCTCTTTAGTGTACATACTGAAGTCGTCATTATTGAGAGCCAATATAATTATCATCCAAATATCTAAAAGTGGTATTAAATTTTTGTATCAGATGTTGTTTCGATGGGTCTTTGCTGATTTTAGTCACAAATTGTAACTCATAACAATACAGAAACAGGTCCGCAATAAGTAGTGCACAGTTAGTCCCCACTGAAATTCCGATAACTTGACGATATACGGAATCTCCGTAGCGAACAAAAATATTATCTAGTAAAAATTCAAGTGCAGTTATCGTATCAAAGCTGGTCCAATTGACATAGTTCTTTTGTTTGCTGTTACTAAAAAATAACCTAAAAGAGTTTGAACATATATATTCGCATTCTGACCTTTTAAATGCCCATTTAATTAGGTGTGTGAATTTTTTGTTAATGAGATTATGAAGCAAAGTGGTATATAGGGTAGAAAAATCAAAACTTTGAACAGATTCGAAATCACCAATGTAAGCATGCAATTTATCAAGTACTTCCAACGAATTTTTGACACTCCAAAAGTAATTAATTCCACTATTTTCAAAGGCCTTATTTGAACAATTTATTACCGGGTTTTTGATTGTACAAAGTGTACTGGTAAGTAGAATAGACAGTTTAGTAGTGGAACAATTACTTGAAGACGAAAAAAATCTATATTTGTAATATATACAGTCCGCCAAAAGTTAAGCACCACCTATTTTTATTGCATCGAAATTTTTTTCATTTAAAAAAATCAGTTAATCCTCGAAAAAGAGAAAATATTCATGTAGCAATTTTGTTAACATATACCATAAACAAACCGTAGACTTAAGTTTGTTCACGTATGCAGGTTCTATCCATTTGAAATTTGCGTTCATAGAAATAATGAAAATTACACAAATCAGAAACGGAATTTAAGTTTTACTGTGATTTTATTTTTTTACAATAATTAATCACCAAATATCATTAAAAGTCTCTACAAATAATCGTTGGTATGTTCGGCAAATTTAATGTCAATATTTGAGTCAACAGGATGTGTAACACCCCCTCTTCCGGTACAATTCCATAACACGGAGTCTCACACTCTGTACAAGCCTTCTAAACTTTAGTTGAGCAAATTTATTCCATTCAGCAACAATTGCGCTTCTTAAATCGCTAAGATTTTGCAAAGGTGGATCTCTGCGATTGAGATTTCTGCCAATGGCATCCCAGACATGTTCGATAGGGTTCATGTCTGGAGACATGGAAGGCCAAAAATAGTGTCAATGGCTTCTTGCTCTTTGTAATCTTTGTACTCGGTTACACTCCTTGTCCTATGTGGTCTAGTATTGTCGTACATGCACAAGGATCTTGAAGCAAGTGGAGGATTATCTAAATGAGGGACTACAATGTTTCTAAGCACCAAATCCCTGTGTGTCTGTCCGTTCATGTTACCCTGCAGAATATGCATACCCACCTTACAACAGTATGAGAAAAAAACCCCATGCTGCAACACCACCAGCAACGTATGCAGTCGTTGGGCAAATGTTGTTTTGGTCATTAGCAGTTTTATTTCCACGGCAAACTCGTATTCTGCCGTCTATTGGTCGTAACAGAAACTGACTCTAATTTGACCAATGAACATTTTGCCAGCTTCTCATGTTCCAGCGTCGATGGTCATTAGCCCTTTGAAACCTTATTATACGGTGCCTGGCTGTTAGGGAAGGTCTCTTGACAACACGACGTGCTGTTAGGTAGCCTCTATGAAGTCGACGGACCAATGTTCGAACACTAACATGACCATCTTGACGCCAGTGGTGTCTAAGTTGTGGGGCAGGAGTAAATGGGTTGGCTTTAGCGCAACCAATAATGAGTCTGTCATCACGATCGGTAGTTTAACGGGATCTTCCGGACCTTGGTCTATCATTTACAGTTCCTGTGTCAACATGACGTTGTAAAAATCTGACAATGACGGTGTGTTTAACATTGAAATGGCTACCTATGCAACTAGTGCTCCTACCGCCATTTGACATGTCAATTGCTTGTCAAGGTTCAGTCACATATAACTTACCCCTTGCCATATTTCACAGTGGCTTGGTGAAGGTCAAATTTCACCTGTACGCGGGGCAGTAGGAAGATGATTTAAAGGCATCGAAACAGTGTATTCGAAAAAGTGCAGATGACCTTTAGTAAAAATTGCTTGGCGTGTTGATCGGAGTTTATTTTTTTAGGTCGTAATGAATTTTCTTAGTGTATGTTATAGGCAATTCATAACACCAAACATAAATATTTTTTTCGCAATAGTTATAAAAATATTGCCAGTTATATTTAGGTGGTGCTTAACTTTTGGCGGACTGTATACATTAATTAATTACTTTTTGAATTCCTTTACGAGATTATCGATAATTCCTTGTACTCGAAGCCCAGTCAAAACTATATGACATCCTTTTGCTGCCAGATGATGAGCTATTCCTAACCCTATATCACTGGTGGAACCCGTAACAACGGCTGCTTTGTTCTCCATGCTTCTGTTTAGAAGTCACTGTACAAAGAAAACGTTATAAATTATAATATCATTAATTGTTATTGTTCATATGTTAATTAATGCATCATCTCATTTATATTTAGAAAATTGTCGAAATGTAAATAAAATGCATTTCACCTGTTTTGGAACTATAAAAAATGTCCGTGCTGATCATCTATGGTGTATAAGTCGATGAGACTGATGTACAATGTACTGTCTGGATCATAAGTTGAAGAGACTGATCTGGATTAAAGTCGAAGACACTGGTGTATTTGTTGGAGCGTAGATCAAGGCAACTTTTTTACTTGTTGGAGTATATATCGAGTATAGTGTATTTGCTGGAGTACAGATCGATGACACTGGTGTATTTGCTATATTTCAGCTCGAGGAGACTGGTTTATTTGCTATATTTCAGCTCGAGGAGACTGGTTTATTTGCTATATTTCAGTTCAAGTAGACTGATGTAGTTGCCTGAGTATAATCCGAGCAGACTATTTACCTGCTGGAGTATAAGTCAAGTAGACTTGTGTATTTAATGGAGCATTAATCAAGGACACTTGTGTACTTGCTGGAGCATGAGTCGAGGATATTGATGTTATTACTTGAGTACAGTTCGAGGAGACATGTGTATAGAAATAAGGAGATGAGGTATGATTGCCAATGAGACAACTATCCACCAAATTTCAAATAAAGTAGATGTAAGCAGCTATAGGCAACTGTACAGCCTTCAACAATGAGAAAAACACATACCGTATAGTCGGCTATAAAAGACCCCGACATGAAAAATATGAAACAATTCAACTGAGAAAAACTAGTTTTTAGCATAGGTCGAGGAGCCAGGAGTATTTGCGGGAGCATAGGACGAGGAGCCAGGAGCATTTGCTAGAGTGAAGGACAAGTAGACTGGTGTAATTGCTGGAGATTAGATCGAGGAGCCATCCAGGAGTATTTGCTGGAACATAGGTCGAGGAGCCAGGAGTATTTGCTGGAACTTAGATCAAGGAGCCAAAAGTATTTTCTGGAGCATATGTCGAGGAGCCAGGAGTGTTTGTTGGAGCATAGGTCGAGAAGCTAGGAGTATTTGCGGGAGCATAGGACGAGGGGCCAGAAGTATTTGCTTGAGTAAAGGTCGAGAAGACTGGTGTAATTGCTGGAGCATAGGTCGAGTAGACTAATAGTAATATACTGGATTCTGTAGGAAAACAAGTCGATGAGACTTGTGACCTTCTTCAATTTAGGTCGAGATTTGTGTAATTGGTTTTGGTTTGAGGACACAGATGTATTTGCTCGTATAGTGAGCTTCATTCAGGTTTTTTTTCTGTGTATTTTTGGTGATGCTGTAGTCTATCTATCATTTTTCTTATTAAACCAAATAAAATGAAATGCCGTGTATTTACTAAATCATTGCACCAACGAAAGGACCGTGGTATAGGCATATCAGACGAAAGGACCGTGGTATAGGCATATCAGAAGAAAGGACTGTGGTATAGGCCTATCGGACGAAAGGACCGTGGTAAAGGCATATCAGACGAAAGGACCGTGGTATAGGCATATCAGACGAAAGGACCGTGGTATAGGCATATCAGACGAAAGGACTGTGGTATAGGCATATCGGACGAAAGGACCGTGGTATAGGCATATCGGACGAAAGGACTGTGGTATGGGCATACCAGACGAAAGGACCGTGGTATAGGCATATCGGACGAAAGGACGTGGTATAGGCATATCGGACGAAATGACTGTGATATAGGCATATCAAACGAAAGGACTGTGGTATAGGCATATCAGACGAAGGGACCGTGGTATAGGCATATCAGACGAAAGGACTGTGGTATAGGCATATCGGACGAAAGGACCGTGGTATGGGCATATCAGACGAAAGGACCGTGGTATATGCATATCAGACGAAAGGACTGTGGTATAGGAATATCGGACGAAAGAACCGTGGTATAGGCAAAAACCCATACCGTATAGTCGGCTATAAAAGGCCCCGACATTAAAAATGTGAATCAATTCAAACAAGAAACTAACGGTCTAACTTATAACAAATTAAACAATTTACGAAAAAACAAATATGACAGACATAAACCAACGATAAACAATAAATAAGAGTACTTGCAGTTACAGATAGCTAGTTCAAATCCAATTACAACTAATAGATAAACCATGGCTAGAGTATCAATCAGGACAAATCAAACGGATTCAGTATGAAGACGTCATGAAAAGTTTGAGAAACGCATGGCTAACCTTTTATGAAATATTATATGAATAACACATAGCTGAGATGGTGATAGAGCAGATTGTTACCCCGAGAAAACATTGTCAACTGAGGCGAAGCCGAGTGTGAATGTCATATCTCGGGGGTTGATAAATCATTGTATCAACTGAAATCAAAAGTCAACAATTGTTTTATTATATGACTTTGTATCCTTCTCCAATTTTCTAGTATTTGCTCAAGATACTTTTCAAACTGCTCCTTGTTTTTATACTAAATATATCATCTGCTTTGGCAGTTGCTAACTTTCATAAGCTGAAATATTCAATCAAAAGTACTAAACAAATACATCTAAAACAAGAAGAGCAGAAAAAAATATACCGAAAATTAGAAGGAAAGAAAAATCGAAAATGTGCATGACGTCATAAATAGACGTCATTAATGTTGCCTTTGAATATATATATTTAGATACACGTTAGATGTTCCAAATCTTATTTTAACCTCTTGTGGTTCTTTCCGCGGTGAATTTAACGTTTTATCAAAGAAGACTTCATAATATGCTTTTAGCCAATGAGAAAAGAGAATTTTTTTAATCATATAATAACATCTGATATGTGTTGATCAGTCTTGTTCCTACCAAATAAATTATATTCTTCTTGCTCTATAAACATCTTGCGTGTGCAATCATATACGTTCTGGAAAATACATACAACGAATTGTTCCTTTCATAAGAATTTGTTATCAGCTCAGGACTACATACATTTACAAAAATACTACTGTGTCGTTTCTTCTAATGGTAGATTTTCAGTCCCCGAGTGTATCATCCTCCCATCCCATTAGATAATATAATAATGCTTCTTTTTGTACTATAATTGGGTAGTAAAAGCGTTGACCGAAGCATATTGTGTATGAAGAGCGGGAAAAAGTGAGCCCGATCAACGCTTTTACAACTTATAAAATTACAAAAAGATCTTGCAATTAATACGGAAATGAAATGTACCGTTTGGAATACCTCGGCCAACAAAATTGCGTAATCGGATGAAACTTCCATACTAATGTAATTATAATGAATTAGTCAATATATTTTGACTAAATATTTTTCTTCTTTATACGTAATTTTTCTAAAAGCTACTTCGCAAGACCTTTCGGTAAATTTGACCTAATGCGATTTTCAATTTTCTTTTAGAATCTTATAGAAATCGATGCTTACAGCGTACTTTTAATTTGTAGTTGGATTCCCAGTATATCAATGTTTACAGTAGTATGTCTGATGAAGGTACATTTAGATGGACGTTTGGGCTTTAAGTTTAATTTGTAATTTGATCTTCAAAGACCTAAATGTTGATAAGCATCTGTCCTACCTCCATGACAAATATATGTTGTTGTACTCGTAGATAAAGCTCCAAACAACATCGTTTTTGTGTGTAAATCAAATTACATAAACTGCTTGATAAAAGAATTAAATTACATCAGTGTCCTTACAAACAACATTATATTGCTGGGTCTTCCAAGGGCAAACGGGGCCTCGGTGGACGAGTGGTCTACGTAGTCGAACTACTGTATCACTATCCTTATAAAAGAACAGAGTTCCAATGTCCCCCGCGTTGCACATATTTTATCTATACAGGGGTAATAACTAAAAAAAAACTTTTTTTTTTTATTCTTCAAAACAATTTATAAACAAAAAGCGTGCGCGGGGGACAAATTTTTGTTTGTTTATTGTATACTAAACATTTCAAACAGACCTTCAAGGGCATTACTTATAGTATACTATAAGTTTTATAAAAAATTGTACCCGTGAGAGCGCTAACGAGGCCATTTTCCATATTTTTTAATATTTCCAAGGGCATGACTCTTTTTGAAAAAGTCGATCGGCCACCATTATAGAACTTGTCCGAGATATTGCTAATTTTAACCTATAGTATAAGTTTTATAAAAATCTGGCAAGAATTGTACCTGTGAGAGCGCTAACAAAACCGGACGGACGGACGGACGGATGGACAGACGATATTTCCATGTCCCCCGCAACGCGTTACGCGGGGGACAAAAAGCAACACTGAGGTAGTGAGTTCGAATCCCGCACGTGGCATATCGGTGAACATAGCATAATAATGTTGAAAGTGGCGTTAAACACCAATCAATCAATCAATTAATCCAAGTGCAACCGGAAACATCTTTTCAAATTGTTAACATCAATGTTATCAGCAATCAAATAAAGGCAACAGTAGTATACCGCTGTTTGAAACTCATAGAACGATAGAGATAAAAACAAATCCGGGTTACAAACTAAAACTGAGGGAAACGCATCAAATATAAGAGGAGAACAACGACACAACAAAAACACAACATTAAAATGTAACACACAGAGAAACGAACTATAGTATAACAATGGCCATTTTCCTGACTTGGTACAGGACATTTTAAGAAAAAAATGGTGGGTTGAACCTGGTTTTGTGGCATTCCAAACCTCCCGCTTTTATGGCAACGTCAAACACAACACCAAAACGACAACATCACATGACAGGACCACAATACAAATAAATGGGAGAACATATAGGACAAACAAACGCACGAATAATAGCTAACAAAAGGTACTAGGCTTAAAATTTAATACGCCAGACGTGCGTCTCGTCCACACAAGACCAACCAGTGACGCTCAGATGAAAAAAGTTTGAAAGCCAAAACAAGTACAAAGCTGAAGAGCACCGAGGACCAAAACTTCCAAACTTGCGCCTAACACGGCCAGGGTTTTCTGCCTGGGACAAGAACATCCTTATTATTTAGAATAATTTATAATTTTGCAAACAGTAAATTTTATAAAATGACTATATAATAGATATACATGATAAAACCGAAGTGGGGACTCACTACAGAATAAAAACGGATACATTACATAAAACAACTTAATCCAACACATAAAAATACACAGCCGAGTTAGCCAAAGCCTCAACGCACAAAGTGATGTCACATTTGAAATTATAAAAAAACACACAAAGTGACGTCACATTTGAAATTATAAAAAAATACACAAAGTGACGTCACATTTGAAATTGTAAAAATAATTCCCAAAAATAAGATAGGATTAGGATTGATTCAAGATTAGACTTGTAGTACTGACATTACATTTATTAATAACAATGAAAATTACAATACTTATTAATATCGAATTGTGCTAGTAATTAGATAATTAATTGTATTATCTAGCTATGTCGGTGTTTCTTCTAAATCAAACTGTAAACCAAATATATCGTATAAATTTCGTTGAACCAAACTAAAATCTAATAAATGAAGGGGGTGATTAATTATCTTTACCATAACACACGAATATAACAGAAAAGACGTTAAGACATTTGACAAAATCCGACGAGAACAACAAATATAACATCAAAATTAAATACAAGAATTTGGGATAGAAAAGTACCGTGGTACGTCTTATAGCAATGCCGGGCTTCAAAGTTACTGTGAAACTACTTACTCTGGGGACGGCGTGAATCAGATGTGGATACCCTAAAAGTCGGAAGATATGTTAGAGTACATACAATATAAGTATCTTCGGGCATTAAATCCTCTTGCAATAGTATTAGAACATTTGATTTTTCTACCCTTTACACAAGCATTCCCTATTCCAAACTAAAAGACAAATTGAACGAATTGGTCATGCTTTGTTTCATAAAAAAGAATGGCCAACATAGATACATCATACAAATATCTGGTCTTAGGCGCGCTGATCAAACAAAAATTCTCTGAATTTGAAATTATCAAGATACTTGATTTCGTGATTGACAACATATTTGTTACGTTTGGAGGACGTGTTTTTCAAAAAACAATAGGAATTTCTCCTGGGAACCAACTGTGCTCCTCTTCTTGTCGATTTGTTCATTTTTTCATACGTAGCTTATAAGCAAAGGAGATTCTTAGGAAGAAAATGAGCTAGCATTATCCTTTAACTAAACTTTCCGCTATATAAATGACGTCCTCTCACAAAATAATTCAAAGTTTGGTGACTATGTTGAACGTTTCTATCCCATCAAACTTGAAATCAAGGATACAACAGATACAGTTACGTCTGCTCTATGTCTTGACTTACATCTATAAATTGACAATGAGGGTTGGTTGAGAACAAAAAAAGATGATATCAGCTTCCCAATTGTGAACTTTTTATTTCTATGTAACAACATTCCAGCAGTACCTGCATATAGAGTATTATATATCTCCCAGTTGATACGATATTCCAAAACTTTCATGATTTCCTTGATAGAGGGTTGTTACTTTAAAGATAGCTATTCAACCAAGAGTTCCAAGTGGTGAAGTTGAAATAGTCCCTTCGAAAATTTTACGGACGGCATCACGAGTTGGTTGGCCGTTATGGAATATCTGTTTCACAGATGACGACGGATATGTCCCGATTATTGTAACCACAATCCTGACTTATTCCCTTGAATGTGACCTACTGAATTAGACTTATCACCGGGTTTGTACTTACATGAGTAACACGAACGGTGCCATGTGCAAGCTCATATTCCTGTCCGATCCCAACATAACTGATAAGGCATATTTTTGAAAGTATTGCTACAGAAAAATAGTTCCACATTGCACTGTGTTTTTGTTATTAAACGTTCAGTTTCTGTTGTTTAGATTAGTGAAAATCTTTATCCGAATGTGTAGAGAATCTCATGAAAAGTGAAGGATCTGTCCCCGAGACCAGAATTTAACTTCCGTTAAATGGTCCTATTTCAGATTTTCTGATCATCAAACTCATTTGAGATTTTGCTGATTGGAAACTTTGAACAAATCTGAAAGGGATCTGATGAGAAATGAAGGTTTTATCCAGGTGACAAGATATAATATAGGTTATATTTGTGTCCCCTCCCAAAAAGTTTTTTTTTCAGACTTTTCTGATTATCAAACTCATCAATGGTTTTTATGAGTGGAAACCTTAGTCCAACTTTAAAGTAGACTCGACACAAAATGAAGGCGCTAGCATGCATGGCAACACGATTTAATATACTAGTTCCCTCCCGAAAAAATTGTCCCCATTCCAGATTTTCTTTTACTATTGAACTCATATGCGGGTTTTGTTCGTGAAAACATCCAATCAAATTTGGAAAAAAAGAATCAGACAAAAATAAAGACGCTAGCAACATTAGATGGCGACAAAAAAAGATGGGTCCTCCCCAAAAAAAAGGTCCTGTATTTTTTTTAATTTGTTTATCAAACTCATCAATCATTTGAAGAGTGAAAGCCTTAATCCAAGTTTGAAGAGGATCCGACAAAAAATGGATAGAGCAAGCATAGCGAAAACAAATAATGTGATGAGCTTCCTGTCGAAGTTGATTTCAATAGTATTTCAGTTGCACCGTAAATACTTATATTACTTTTGTATAAAATCATTTCAACCACTTCGTCAAGTATAGTCGTATTTCCACACGTGTAACAAGGCTGACAGACGGAAAGGCTGACAGACGAACTGGCATACGGACGGACTAACGGACGGGTCAAAATTATACCCTCCGAATCTTCGTTGTGTGAGGATTATAACTACAAAGAAGAACTGTTCAATGTTTGAAAGATAACCAGAAGAACATTATTGATAAACTTAGCCGGGCGTTTTCAAATTGGTTCTGTAACACGTACATTAATGATGAAAAGACTGAATAAGCTCCTTATTAGTATATTGAATAACAGTACATATTCAATCTGATGACATATGCTATCATTATCCTCTACAAGATAAAACAAATGAATCAGTTTTGTGTAGAATATACATTTGTGGTCGATAATATTGCTATGATAATATTGCTATATTATGTTTTATTCGTGTGTTCTAGTTCGTTCCAACACAATCTTATAGTGGACTTGGAGTACATTTTTTTATTGTTATTTTCCATGTTAAAGATATTTTTCATTTTAAATTTTCTTTATTATGGAACCTTTGTAACTTATTTAAATGTTTTTTCTAAATATAAATACACGCAGAATATATTCACATAAATAAGTGCACTCTTATTGGATTTCTTATTGTCCCACTGTCAAACTATACAAATTCCGGAACTTGAAAACGTCGACGACCGACGTACATTTCCTTTTCTATTAAAACAACTATGGCGGATGACAACTCAACAATGCTTGAAAAAGCTGTTCAGATACTTGTACCACAGCCGTGCTTTGATAAATACTTTGTAGACTTTAATTTCTTTGATGGTAAATCGTTATGAAATATCCCTTTCTATGTGTAAATGCTAAATGGAAACTATACCTCAATTAAAACAACACCTGCAAGTTCTGTTGTGGAGTTTGGACCCTTGTATTCTATAAAACGTAAACAAACTTTGGTCGGACACGAATAAATCTCCGACAAAGACATCACGAAACATATGAATAAGACTTTTCTAATATTGTACAAGACCTTTCTTTGGTTTTGTACATCATTGATGGGAATTCAACAAATTAAGGTTCATCAAAACCAAGTTCAACACATGTGCCATGATCATGATGACATGTTATGTGGGTGTATCACCAAGGATATCTTACTATACAAATCCTTGGTATCACTACAAAAATAGAAGATTCGCTTTTTGCAAAATATGGCCTTTAATTTTAACTTTATTAGAATATAACTTGATTTGAAATGGATCTGTTTCAAAAGCTTTAACAGGTTGGGGATTATCTCCTACATGGGTCATAATATCCCGTTTTGGGTATAATACTCTAAATGGGGTATAATTTTAGGCAGTGGCTATTTTACCAGCACTTGCAAAATAAAAACTATGCTAGTTTGCACTAAAAACAATTTTGTTCACAGACAAAAATGACAGATATGCAATTCAAAGAACTGGCTATTATTTCAAATGCATATTTAATTTAAACATTTTTGATTTTGTTAGATTGTATCATGTTTTATCAAATTTATATGCAATGAGATTTTTAACTTTTATTTTTTACTACATGTGTGATATAGTTAAAAACTCAGAGATTTTATTCTTATGCATACATATAGCATAAGACTTTGACTGATTTTAGAAGTAATTTCAACTACATGTTTTCATATGATTTCATTGCTACAAATGGATGCTCAATATTTTTATTTTTATTTCCTTTTACAAACATGACTAAGTCTTATTTTCACTTTGACTGATAAATGTTTGTAATAGTTATATGTATCTAAAATACTGTTTCTGTTATCTTATTCAACAATATGAGTGATAATTTGATTCTTTCATGTTGACAATGCACATTTTCGTAGTACTTTTCAAAAAGTAAATAATAAAATTCACTCGACTTAACAATGAACTAGCAAAATAACAAATTCTCTGTATTGCAGGCGCTGGCAAAATAGCCATTGGGTCACACTAATTTGATTAATAGTTCTTTGGACAAAAGCTCCAAAAAATATGGGGCGAGCGAGCAAAATATTTTTGTTTTTATATATTTCTTGGAAGAGTTTTTTTGAGGCGAGTGCTCTACAAGTGAAGTGAGCTGTATAATTTCTTTTTTAAATTGTGAGATTAAGAAGTTGTACAATTTATCACATTTTTATGTACATGTTATAACTGGGTTATTTCAAAGAAAAATGAGGAGCAACAGATGCTCTAATCATTATGATCATGCTAATGCATATAATTTGATTTATAAGTGCCTGTACCATATCAGACGTTCTTGTCACACTGTGGTTTAGTTAATCTTGGTTATTTTCTTCAAGAAAGCTTTGTCTGTGTGAATTTTCATTTAAATCCATATATATATTTACGAAGCATAGCAGATGCAGTTTTACAAGAGGAAGTATGTTAGTTAGGTAAATGACACATGTTGAATACGATAAAATATGTGTATGTATCCAAAAAAATGCCCCTGAAAGATATTTGATAATTGTTTTCAATGTATGGTAATGATTGTTTATTGTTGTAGTTCAGTGTTTCTGTTGTTCCATTGTTTCCTCTTATAGTTGATGTGTTTCCCTCGGTTTTAGTTCGTTACCCAGATTTGTTTTTGCTTAATCAAATTATGACTATTGAACAGCGGTATACTACTGTTGCCTTTATTTATTGGCTGCTTGACATCCAGTTGGAACTATTTATGCATATTTAGGATCAAAATAATGAGTGAGGTGAATATTTCTTGCTTTGTACTAAAACAACATCCTGAGTAAGATAGTTATATTGCTATACATGAAGATCCAAAGGTATTAAATGAGGGCAACAGTGGTATAACTGGCGCTGGCAAATTAGCCACTGCCATACATGTAGTTCATTTTATGTAGTTTTACTGTGCAAAAAATATTTTTTGGATTTTTTGGATTCAAAGAAAATATTGCAAAGTGCAAATGATAACATAAATGGCAACAACTTTTCTACATACTGAGTTTGAGCCCTTGGAAGATGCTGATTTTCAAGGGGATGAATCTAGCAACTTATTCATTTTCTTGAAAAGTAGTTTACCATGTTTACCAATAGCATTGTTATAAATCTTCTAGTTTGCAAACTGAACCTGTTTTGTCAGGTTGATGAGCATTTTCTCCTTTTCAACAGACTTTCTGATGTTTTGTTATAAGGGACTGATTGTGTTGATATTTTCTGTTAATAATGTTGAAGAGCTAAAAGTCAATTAGATGAACAAGTTGTAGAGGATGAATTGAAGCCTAAACAAATTTGTATATGAAGCATGACATTGTGAGTACACAATTTTTGTTGTGTATATACCATGTATACAGTTACATTTTAAGTCTGAAATAAAGGCAAACACTGTATAATCTAGATAAGTTAGTTGTAGTATAATATAAGTTAACTTTGTTATTTTCAGGTGCTTGTGCCAAGGTTGTTATCAGCAAGTGTCTTGGGTTTGGTATCATTTTAGGTTCAATTCTTGGTAAGATGACAATCAAATAAGTTTAATCTTTACATTTTACAGAACCTCAAGCCACCTTAGAAGGGACATTTATTTTTACAAATGATAGGAGAGGTGTGGTATGATCTGCCTAAAAGACAGTAACTAAAAAAAATAAATCCAGAAAAGACACATTCCCCATTTCCATTCTCAATTTTATGTAGAGGTGAAAAAATGGTGTTCTACAACTATACGATATATTACATGTATTAGGTTCTCTAGGATTTGAAGTTGATTTAAATTGTCCCAAGCCTACAAATGATTTAGCTTTTTGAATGGTTAATAAAGAGAGCTTTACAACTAACAATGACTAAAAAGTGATAATAGATTAAATGTAATTAGGACATTCCCGGGAATGCCAACAATCCTCAGCTTGTCCTGTCTTTAACAATGTTTAATTGAGTTCAGTGATGAAACTTGGCATGATTATTCACCACTACCAAAAAGTGTGGGATGCAGATAGTGAAAGTCATGGTCTAAATGTTTTTTAACTTCACCATCTCTGTGCATATGTAAGACAATTGTTTCTGCTCTTTAACAATGTTTAACCTTCAAATCTCTTGGAGATCAGGGATGAAACTTGACATGATTATTCACCACTATTTGAAGGTGTGTCAGGTATATGAAAGGAAATTGTACATTTTTTATCAGGGTATAAGGTTAGTTGAATTAAACACCCTTGTATATATATACATTGTTTTTGGAATAACTCTGATTGCATCAACATTTACTTATTTACCTACTGCTCGGCCCTCTGTGATGGCTCCCATCAATATTCAATAGTTGTTCCCTGTAGTCCAAGTTAAAACAAAAGACTTTTAAAGGTCTTTGTTTCACAGCTTGGAGAAGATTAGGCCACGAGATGTCATGTGAGACATTACAGTATTTATCGTTGTATATTACTCTATTAACCTTTAAGTAGTATGATTATCATTGGATTAAGAATATGCATGTACTCCCACAATTGTGATTTGTTGTCTTGTTGGCTAAGATTGGAGAAGTTTAACTATACTGTTCAGACAGTTCTGTTTTTTTTTCGGTAAAACTGCCACAGATTGTAAACAGAAAACAGGCTAAGATTGGAGAAGTTTAACCTCACTAACCTCACTGTTCTGTTTTTGGAAAATGACACAGTCAATTTTCCTATACCGCTGACCAGAAGTCATTTACCGCTTCCAAGCCGCTTTCCGAACTCGGTTCCGTATTTTACATACTTATGTACTATACAGAATTTCATTCTTAACCTGTCCATATGTTTATTGTTATTAAATGGTATTTTGAGCTATCCCTTTGGTATATTTTTCATATTTATATGAGCTTTCGCTTTTATGTGCATGTCTTTACAATCCGTAAAAAAATCATAATATCTGTTTTGTTATGGTTTTGGACTTTTTACATACAAATGATCACCAATTGCTATACAAAATAGTTCTTGAAAGAATGTCAATCTTTCTTGTCAGTTGAACTTTAAAATCATTAAAAGAATAATAATCGGAATCATCTTGATATCCATACGAAAGATAATGTTTTTTTATCAAGATTGACGAAGTTTTTAAGAATCGAAAATTAGTAATACGGTTATACCAACATGGTGTGTATGTATTTTGTTTACAAAATTATAGCTGCAGACACAATCTGTCGACACAAAAAGAACCCGTATGTAAAATGTTTACGCCCATAAACAGGGCCACCTCTTTTTTTTTTTCTTCGTCGTCTTTGAGAACAATGTTCTGTTCTGTTGAAAATTAAAACATTAAATCAACTTAAACATAGAATAGTAAGTGTAGAAAACAAATTAAAAAATATATTTTTACATGACAGATTATGCATGATATGCTGGCACTGTGCACACAATGTCCTTCAATCCAAGATTGAAAATAAGTTTGTTTCTACGTCAAAATGGCAGATTCCAATGTTTACATTTTTCCATCAAAACAAAAGCTGACACAATTTGCGTGACCCCCATGAATTTGAAAATTATTTATTGTTTCGGGTAGCTTATTCAATTACATTTACTGTTTATATAACTATACATTACCATCCATGGTTACAAATGTAGGATGTGTTTGGTGTGTACATCTCTGGAATGTTGTGTATTCAATTTTTTACGGTAAAAATCAATGTTATCTTCATCATATTTCCATGCATACATAAGTCATAACAACAAATAATTGTTTATAAAACTTATAATGTAAACAGACATGTTTAACCGTCTGTCTTAGCAAAAATTGGTGTAAATAAAGCTGATGGGTTGTTCTATAATTCAAGCACAGGAGTAAAAACACGTGGTCGTTCATTGATGTTTGTTTACTTAAAATACACATTCTTGTTACTGCATACTTAGAAATAATCACTATTTTGTTATTATTGTTTAACATAAGATATAAATTAGTATTTATTAAGGGATTGTATTGCTTTCAGAGTTAT